CGAAACAGTATATAAGGGATTACCTTCTTGGTTCTTTGATTGGTGGGTAAATTATGGTGCAGAAATGACAATATTACCTGAACTCATCACAAAGTTATATTCTTCCTGGATAGAATCTCATCCAATTATATCTAAATTAAATGAAAATAAAATAGTTGATGGATTATGTGCCATTTACTTTTTTGTAGAAACGAAAATTCCGGGGATATGGACATGGTCATTCGACACCAACTGGACGGATTCCTATCTTCCTTATCTAAAAAGGAAATTTCACTGCCGATGGTGGTCAGTTATAATTATTGAAGAAAAGACAAAATATTGAAGAAATAATCCAGAGAAATAAGAAAATTCTCGAAACAACCATAACTGAAGAAGTTCAAAAAGAAAATCCTATGCTCAAGATTGCAAAAATGATGAAAAGGAAATACCCTCGAGCATCGGAAATAGAAAGTGAACAAAATTGCTTAGAATATATAAAAAAATAGTTTTTTGAAGCATTTGATACAAGTGATACAAAGTCGGCTAAAAGCACAGGATCCGAAGATATTATTCTTCAAGATGCTCAAGAACCGGACGAAGATATTGACAATATGTAGGAAGCTGCAATGGGATTCCTGAATGATATTCAGCCAGATGTCAAAGGAAAAGGAATCGCTTAAAGAATTGTCATATCAAATAAATAAAAAAAGGAATCTACTTTATAAAAACAAACGAAGAAAATAAGCGGACAGAAAGCATCTACTTTCCAAAAGGTAATGGCGACAATGAAGACTTGGAATATTATGAATGAAATACTCGTTCCATATACTAATTTTATTCTATCATATATAGATGATATTTTAATATTTTCTTTAACATTTGAACAACATATTAAACATTTAGAGATATTTCGTAATCTAGCATTACGAAATGGGCTAGCAATATCATCTCCAAAAATGAAACCAAATGATTGGATAAAATAGATACATTTCATATAATTTAAATCATTTATAAATTTTAGTTCTTAGAAAAATTTTAAAAATATATGTTAGCCAGCACCTACAAGTTTTTGGACTTTATAAAAAATATTCTCCAAGTTTTTTAAATTGTAAAAACGTCCCTACAAATTCAAAATTTCATTGAAGCATCTTGAAAATTATAAATTTTACTTTATCTCAATTCAATGAAAAATCTGAAAAACATATGTTAACTAGAAACTAAGTTTTTTTTACTTTGGAAAACATATCATGTAAGTTTTAAAAATTATAAAAACACCCCTAAAAATTTAAAATTTACAAAAATATACCTTAAAAATTTTAAACCTATAAACATACTAAAAATCTACAAATAACACAAACAACCCCCAAAATTTTATGAAATTTGCAATACATCATTGTAAAATTTATAAAAAAACCTGATAATTTCTAACCTAACAGTACATTAAAAATATAAGAATTATAAATATCTCATACATAATTTATAATCTATAGAAAACACCCTTAAAGTTTTAAAACTTACAAACAAACATTTAAAATTCAAAATTTACAAAAAAACACCCTTAAAATTTTAATTTCATTAGTAAATTGAAAGCATAGTAATTATAAATAATCTATAAACAATTTACAATCTGTATAACAGGCCTATTAAGTTTAAAAATTTGTAAAAAGTCATTAAAATTCATAATTTACAAAAAACGCTATGAGAATTTCTAACCTATACACACTAAAATGAATATGCAAAATTACTAACCCCTAGAAAATAAAAATTTTGCAAAAGATATCATACACCTTTTAAAAGTATAGGTTTAGAAAAAAAATGTTTCATGGTAAATATTACCCATACCTTTTTTGAAAAGAACATAACTAATTAAAAATCTATTAAATTTAAAATTTACAAAAAAACACGCATAAAGTATAGTACATTGCAAATTACCTCTCCAAAGTTTGAAAATTTTCAATGTTTTTTTTTTATAATTCCTTAATTTCAATGTAATGTTTAATAGTCTTGTGCATTTGTAAATTAAAAATTTTAGGGTGTTCTTTTATACTTTTTAAAACTTTTGAGGATGTTTATTTTATAGTTTTCTGAATTTTCATTTGTGTTTTTAGTGTAATGCACATATACATCAATTAATGATGATATTGAAGAATAAGTCGTTCTTAAGATTATTAGACCATAGTTAGTGTGCACATCACTATTCCTAGGCAGTATAGTTTATATATGCAAAACTTTTCAGACAATCTATATAGTTATTAACAAGATTTCTGACAAGAGTCTTGTGTATTTGTAAATTACAAATTTTAGGGTGTTTTTTTACACTTTTTAAAACTTTTGAGGATGTTTATTTTATAGTTTTCTGAATTTTCATTTGTACTTTCAGTGTAATGCACATATACATCAATTAATGATGATATTGAAGAATAAGTCGTTCTTAAGATTATTAATGCACATATACATCAATTAATGATGATATTGAAGAATAAGTCGTTCTTAAGATTATTAGACCATAGTTAGTGTGCACATCACTATTCCTAGGATGATATTGAAGAATAAGTCGTTCTTAAGATTATTAGACCATAGTTAGTGTGCACATCACTATTCCTAGACAGTATAGTTTATATATACAAAACTTTTCAGACAATCTATATAGTTGTTAACAAGATTTTGACTTTAATGTACTATTTTTTACAAATTATATTTAATGTTAACCCACCATATAATTTTGACTATGGTCATCATAATTTTAATACGTTTGATTGATTGATTATATACGTATATAGACCATAGATTATTTTATTTTCTAACATAAACTAATATTTGGTGCTTAATAATTTAAATTATTGCTTTTAAATTTAATATAAAATGGAGCTCTGATAATATTTATTTATTTACCTATAGCATAATACAATCTCAATTTCTCTTTTTTGCTGGAGATTTATTCCATAGTTATGCATATCAAATTAGTAATTAAAATAATAATTATTTATGCTTAAATTAGGATGATGGTAGTTGGTCACTCACTGTGAAATTTTTATGAAGATATATACCTTACTTTCTATAGCTATTTGCACTACCCATGTATATTTTATAAATTAGTTCTTAATTTGACATTAAATTATTTTTTCTTTGTAAAAATTTATTCCTTAACTTTTAGACTGTGTAATCATTATATCACCATTTTAGCATAGAAACACTGTAGGTTGTCTAAAAATTATTACAGATAGTTGGTTCTCATCAAACACTAATGATGAAAGTTACAATCTGACAACTTTCACGATAACAAACGAGGGTCACAAATTGACGATTCTCACATTTTAAAGAGCCAAATGCGCGAATTACAAGATGACGTTCCATGCAATGTCCTAACAAAAGATATTACAAATTAACGATCTCTTCAAACCAAAACACAAGGGTCATCCCCACGTTTCAACAACAAAGCGCGGAGCTCATCGCTGCGTTCTAAACTCAAAACGCGAAGTTCATCAGTGTCCCAAGTCCAAAACGCAGAGCTCATCATCGCGTCTCAAGCCCAACACACGGAACTCACCTCTGCATTCCAAGTTCAAGACGCGAAGGTCATTTCTAGACAGTGAATTTCGCGTTTGACTGGTTCAAACAGAACCTGAACGGTTTCAAAATCGTTTTTCCACTAAATGGGGTCTGTTACACCCCCATTATAGAGAGATTTATGGGAGGTGGTTACAGCCCCCATTAAGCCTCTATTAATGAGCAAATTAAGGGGACGGTTACACCCCTTAAACCCTTATAAATAGCTGAAAATTCAGCTTAAGAAAGGAGATCTGAAGATCGGATTTTGGAGCTTAGAGGATCCAAAATCATCTCGGCGAAAGGGCGGAAGTTAGATCTGGGATCGGATCTTGAAGGAGGAAGGCTTTAGCGAAGCGATCTTGGCAAAAGAGGGCTTCGGATCATCAATGGGTCGGCACCTTTGAAGACTTTTGAGAGCTTTTGGCTTGGTTTGTGAACCTTATTACCTTACAACAAAACTTCTTAATCTCTTTCCGAAACTAATCTTACATTCTGCTTTCCTTGCTAAACTAAACAAAAAATTAAAAACTTCAACTGTTGTAAATTCAACAGATGATGTACAGTGTCATCAATCCAAAAAACAAATCCAACAGCAAAAAACAAATCCAATAGCAAAAAAAACCATAACTATCTTCCTCTTCTAGTAGCTCATAATGTTGTGCATGACTTTCTCCCCCATTTTCATCATGACCATCAACCAACATCCTAATGCAAGTTTGAATTGTCCAAACATGAACATATTCTACATATAAATATTATAATCTTTACACCTTCATCTTTAATTTACAAAATAGGTCCATTTCTTATTCATAAAATAAGGATGTTCAAACTGCAACTCCTCGTTTACTCTCTAAGAGTATTCAAACTGAACTACCTAATAGGTTCATTTCCTATTTACAAAACAGGATGAAGGATTTCATGTCAAAATAAGATCTTTTCATATTTGGATAGGTTAGAAAGTTTAACATAACGCTCATATGCTCATAGCCCGTCCATTTTTAAGGGAAAAAAGGATTAATGACGGTGGCGATGAATCTGTTTGCGGACCTCCCCTTCTACATTTGCTTTTAATCACAACTTATAAAAAGACAATATCTCCTAATTTTATTAATTTAGAATTCAATATTCTTGGTTGGGGATGTGTACTATTTTTGTAACAGCCAATTTTGCCTAATTTAGCTGGCTGGATTACTATTTCGGTAATCCATCCTTTTTCTCAAAAAATATTTAGAATTCAATAGGGCTCAGATATTTCACAAGAAATTGCGCAGGTATACAGCTCAATTTCATTTTGATATTGACCGTACAACAAGAAATCTACAAACCCTAGCTGGAAAAGATCCCTTAACATAAACCAAACATTTTCATCTCATTTCTTCCAATAATTAAAAAAGAAACTATTTGTAACAGACATTTGCATGAAAAATCAAAAAAACAAATTAGGAAAAAAAGAGGAACAAATGAAATCGAACCTGATCCCAAGATGCCCTTGATATCCTCAGCAGATAGGCTGCTGTTTCCGCCCAAAACAGCGGGCAAATAAGCAGCGACAACCTTCATTCTGCTAAAAAAAAGCATCAATTATCAAAATTCAACCAAAATAAAAAGGATGGAAGCTAATAAAAATACAGAAAACGGTAATTAATGACAGAAAATTTGGGGGGATTACTTTACTTGGGAGATGGAGATGAGCTGGGGAGAGCGGCGAACGGCTGATCTATGGTTTATGAAATGGGAGAACGAACCTGAGCTTGAGAGAGCGAGTATTTATATCAGAGCAACAGCGGTTGAGATTTGATCCGGACCGTTAGTTGGTGATCTAATGGTGAGTGCCCGTTTTTTGTATTGGAAGTGCAAAAGACCCTTCTCAACTTCGTTTTTCTCGCTAATGTACAAAAGATCGAACAAAGTGAAGACGAGGGAAGGAGATGAACCTCGAATAGAACAATAAAAGAACAGAATTAGGTAGATAATAAAGTCGAAACAAATATTGGGGAGTTTTGTAGGTTGAGTTGAGAGTTTTAAGGGTTATCTGAGACTAGGGTGGTAAATGATCGAATTGAATCGAATACTAAGGTGTTCGTATTTGTATTTGTTTAAAATTGTCGAATTTGAATGCGTATTTTAATAGTCATATATTTAGTTTTTCGAATTCGAACTTGAATACTTGGTATTTGATAAATATTCATGAATATTCTCAAATACTTATCGAATATTAAAATATATTTATTCTGCTAAAAAAATTGATTTTCAAATAGTATTAGAATTCATAAATAAAAATTACTCCTTTATAACATATGATGGATATATATATTTAAATTAAAATTTTAATTAGAAAACAGATTTAATATTATTTAAATCTTAAAATCAATATATAAAAGTTAAGTAGAAATGGTAAGTGGGTTAAAAATATGACATCATATGTGCAATAATACAAATAATAAGTTATGATCAAAATTCAAACAAATATTTAATAGACAAACGAATCGAATATACATCTGGTTAAATTCTATTAGTTAGTAAACTCGAATACTAAAAAATATTTGTTGAACTACCGAATCAAATATGACCGAATATTTATTCGAACAATTATCGAACTATTTGTTAATTATTTGGTTCATTTCCACCCCTATCTGAGACTCATCGTAGAGTTTTGGAGATTTCATTCTCTCTTTAAAATTATGAGTACGGGAAAAGGTTTTTATAGTCAATATTATCTTTATTATTTTGGATATTTTATTTAAATCTTAATCAATATTAATAATAATTATATCCTATCCGAACCTCATGTGAACTACCTACAGCTCAATAATTTTAAAAAAATAAGATTAATAAAATATACAAAGCAGTCCTACGGTATTAATTTGGTTTTTTATGAAGGAAATTGTGGTTCAATTACAGGTTATTGTTTGGGTTGATGAAGAGTTAAGGGAGCTCTTTTTAATAACTAGATGAGTTTGGTTTGAATTGGTATATATACTATACTACTACTAGTATTACTCACGTATATAATATAGTATATATAATATAAGAGATATATAAACGTATATATATACGTGTATTATATATATATATATATAATCTAATAGGTATGTACTATAAGATAGGCGTATACCAGGTACTAATACCCTATACGTAGCCTATAGGAGTGACTAGATATAGTGCTATCTATATCCTATATTATATACGGAACAAGATAAGAGAAAACCTGGTACCCAACGCTACTTGGTAGCTGTATGTGCTTCCATTTGGACCCCTAACAAGTCTACATTTCCGGAGTTATGAAGGGCTGGTTCAGGCTCTAACTTCAAGTGCTGATGTGCAGGGGTAGCCACTGAAGCCCCAGTCCTACCAAGTAACCTTGGTAACGCAAAGTTTCTCCCCATTTTTCCTCATATATAATTATATACTATATATCTATATATCTGTACCCGGTATAGTATCGACTATCGCTGAGATCGAAGAGACGAGAGAGAGAGATTATGGGGTATCCTTGTCATAGGAACGGGGGCGCGATTATCTAACCTCCTTTACACGCCTCGAAAGGAGATCCCATGATTGAATGCCGGCGACATTAGTTGAATGATCGCCCTCCCCGGTTGAAACTTGATGCTACCATCAATTCCTAACCCCCAAACACACCAAGTTCTGGGGCGTGAATCCCGTCCGTCGTTTGAGCCCTCCAATCCGAGCCATTGCGAAGAAGTTCTATTCATTCAAAAAATGTTACAGCCATTGATACGGAGCTGGACTGAACTGGGTCAAACCAACGACGGCTGACGCCCAAACTTGGTGTGTTGGGGTTTTAGAATATGTACGATCAAGTTCAACGGAGCGCGGATCATTCAACAACTACCTTTCAATCAAATGTGTGAATTTTAGAGACGTCATAGGAGGAAATCGCCCTCCTAGTCACAAAGAGATCACCCATTAATCTTCATAATAGAGCGTATAATACTAATCGTATACGTACCCTCGTACGATATACGCTGCGCTCAAGTAGGGCCTCATGACCTATCCCCCCATTCACACACCTCAACATACGTAGTATATACTATAAACGCAGTGACGCGCCCCCTACCGCTCCAACCTGGTCTGTGTCGTTCGTCTTTCTTCCTTTCTTCTCTCTGGTTTCTGTCTTCTACCTTCTCTTTCACTATCTCTTCTCTTTTTAGTCTTTGTCTTCAGTTATCTCTTCGCTCATCTTTCTGTGTTTTTTTTGTTACATTTGCTAATTCATCTATCTTTTTTTCAGTGCTTTGTTTTATGCCTATTAATTTTTCTCCGGCCTCACTGAGCGACCGACCGCCCGGTAGGGCCGGGAGGGCGACAACCCCGCCCGCCCACACCCTACTGAACACTACCGCGGCAACGAGCCGAGACCCCGGCCCGGTAGAGGCGGTCCGCCGGGGCGGCATCACCGCGGCACACCTCAACGTGAAGTATACCGTTCATAAGAGAGTCTGCGGCCCGGACGACGGCCGCGTAGGCCCACGGGACGCGCGCGCCGCGACACCAGCGGCCGCGGCCGCGGCGCGGAACGGTACACACCCATACGCCGCGCCCGGAAGTTGACCGACCGCGTACGAGCGCCGCCACCAGCACCTACAGCTACATAACTATACGACGTATAGATCTACCGATGAGCGTGGGCGCGTAAATGTTTTCCTAAGGCTGACCCATTACGATTCTCATCTAATAGAACGTAACCTACAAATCCACATCATCTGCCCCTAATCTTGTTTTAACGATCCGCTCCATTGAACTTTGATTCTAGCGTTCTTAAACCTGCCCACCAACACGAGTCAATTTGTGGGTGAACCCGTCGTGTTTTCGACCCGCATCGCTTCCGTTGAGCCGTGCAACAAAAAAAGCGCTTTATTCAATTCGAAACCGCTTCAAACTGTGGTGAGCTGGATGAAGGGTCCAAAACCACGACGGATTTACCCAAAATTGGTCGTGTCTTGGGTTTATAGAAACGTATAGATTCAAGTTCAGACGGAGCGGATCGCTAAAACCATTAGGGAATGAGTGATGTTTACGCAAAGGCCCGTGTCCTTCCAGGTGGCGGAATCGTAAGTGTCGACCTCTTAGAAAAACATTCTCTCCATATAATATCCGGACCCGGGCGGGCCCGGCGCAAGCACCCGCCCGCCCACGGCCGCGCCGTTAGCTACTACTACGGTTCGACTGGCGCGGGGACGCCCGCCGCGGTCGCCGCAGTGCGGATCAGGCCGGTCGCCGCGGAGGGGAGCGCGGCGCCGAACAAAACAACACAACACCCAACCGCGCGCCCGGGCTACCATATATTAATACTAGTATATATACGAATAATAATAGTTACATACTCGTATATCACTATATTATATCAAGTAGTACCTACCTAGTACTAGCGCCCTCCTCGAGCGGGCAGAGGCGTCACGAGAGACGAGACGAGAGTAAATCATCCGCGCAGGATACGAGCCCCGATCGTCCCGCCTGGATACCAGCAGAAGCCACAAATATTGTGCTGGTACTGAGGTGGCACATAATCCCCTTCCACTCCCATTCAGAATGGAGTGGAGGGGATTGTGCCACCTCACTACCAAGCACAACTTTTTGTGCTTGTTACCAAGCATACTCATCTCTCTCTCTCTCTCTCTCTCTCTCTCTCTAGATATATATGTGTGTGTGTGTGTGTGTGTGTGTGTAACTGCAAACCAAAACCCACCAAGCCTTATTCATCAACGGTGATAACATCTTTAAAACCCAGTAGATCAATTTCTCCCTTTTTGAAAGCGAAAAAAATTGGGGAATAAGGGTATTTCAGTTGCTTGGTAGGGTAACATATAGTTCGGAAGATGTTAAAGATGTTATGACTGTTGATCTAGTGAAATGGTAGGGTCAGGGTATAATAAGATTTTCATCCATTTTCATCAAAGTTAATGACCTAACTAATAATTGCACATAATCAAAGGGACAAATTAGAAATAAAAAACATGTTTTGAAAGACTTTGTGCCAAATAATGAGATTTGAGGGACACGTCATAAATTAAAGGTGATGTAAGGGATTAGTATGTAGTTACCCTAAAAAAAATGTTTTTGAATCCAAACCCGGCCAAACCCAAACCCGACCAAACCCAAGTCCAACCCAGTAAGAAATTAAAACCCAAATTCTAACCCCATCCCTCCCTTTCCTCTCTCGTGTTTTCTCCTCTTCTCCCACTGTCGAAATTCCAAACCCGACCGGGCTCTTCTTCGATCACCATTGCCGGAGCCCATCTTTGTCCTATCTCCGCCACCGGAGCCACTTCTTTTCTTCTCCGCAAACAAAACCGGAACCTAAACCCTTGCGATTGCTGATGGCTTCGATGAGGATATTGATGGATTTGCAAAAGGGTCCTCCAACACCATACATTGCAACTTTGTTTACATCTATTTATGGTATTATCTCTTAAGTTTTATGGTTTCCAGACTTTAAGTTGTCCTTTTTTCGTTAATCCCTTCTTTTCCTTTTAATTTTTCTGGGCTAAGCATTAAATTTGCTACTTGTTCTCACTTATTATGTTGATCATAAATTTTTATCACATATTATTGGTTTATGATAACTCGAGGTAGATGATACTAGTTTGAGAGATTATTTTTTAAAATTGTTGGAGAAAAAACCGATGAATCTATATATTGAAAACTTGAATGGACCATATTGGCAGAGATGACGTATATATAAAAAGCTTAGAATTAAGAAGATGCAAAGAGGATAATCAAGCGCTTAGATGGAGATT